CTGGCTGCTGGCCAGTTTCAGTCGACTTGTTCAAAATCGGTTCTAGTGGTTCAAACAGTTCATTTGCTTCCTCTCGCAGAACCCATGAAGAGATGTTATCTCATCCCGGTGCCTTCGAGGTATTTAGCTCTCTCAGTATTTTCTTCACCTTTCTTCGCCGCCACTTTAAGTCTGATGAGGTATTCTATCAAAAGCCTTATTAAAATCCAAATAAATAATATCGAATCCTTTATCGTGGTCAACAGCCTGAAAAGCTTTACTGAAGAAAGTTAGAAAATTAAGCAGGAAAAGCCTTTCGTGAATCCTTGTGAAGTATCATTAATCATATTATGCTTATCAAGATGGTTTCTAATAATATCAGCTGTAATTAACTTCAGTAATTTGCCTACAGTTGAGTTCAGGCTTATTGGGCGGTAATTTGATGGTAACGACTTATACCCTCTTTAAAAATAGGAATTACATTGGTCTTCTTCCAGATATCAAATATATTAATGGTTCACAGATTCCATTTTCCACTCCTTTAGAATCCTTGAAAAAAATTCATCAGGGTCCGGGGATTTTTTTTTGCTTCAGTTAGTTTATCTGTTTGATAACCATATCACTAGTGACTGTGATATTATATAATTTATTTTCTTCAGGGTCACTGTAAAAATTAATGACTGGAATATTGTTGGTGTCTTCCTGTGTGAAAACTGAGAGGAAATATTTATTAAAAATAGAGCACATCTCATTCTTGTCAGTAAGATGCCCAGAGTTATTTTTAAGAGGACCTACCTTTCTTTAACTTTTGCTCTATATAACTTGAAAAAAAAATTCAGGTTAGTTTTCGAGTCCCTAGCAATTTTAAATTCATTGTCCCATTTAGCTTTTATTATCCCCTTTATAATCTCCTTAATATGAATATATTGATTCATAAGATGACCCTGACCTCCTTTGATGCATCTATAAATTCCTTTCTTCATGTTCACATATAAGTGTTCCTTAAGCCCATTGTAATATGCTAAGCAAAAATCTAGGACCGTTACTGAATTATCCCTACTATCATACTTCCATTCGCTTGCGCCAAGTTCCTCTGTAAAATCTAAATCATTAATAAGGGTTTCCTTGTTTGCCAGAACCAAGTCAAGCAGGTTATTTCCCCTTGCAAGTGGCCTGCGAGGTCACCGGACCTAACTGTTTGTGACTTTTCTTTGGGGGTACGTGAAGAGCACAGTTTACGTACCACCACTACCTGCAACCCTGGAGGAGCTGAAAATTTCGATCACTGAAGCAGTTCGCATGATAACTCCAAATATGCTGCAGAGCGTCTGGACCGAACTAGACTATCCCGTCGATGTTTGCCGAGCAACCAGAGGGACGCACATTGAGTGCCTTGAATGCTATCCTATACCACATGAAACTGAATGAAATCCTGCATCTGAAGCTACTAACTGTGAAAGATTATTCCAATACAGTTGCATGTTATAACTGTTTGAAATCAGGGAGTGTTTTTGTGCACACCCTGTATCATATTTTTTCCGAATATTAGTAGTTTAGTGTTAGCTTTTACAAAATACACTATATGGCATCTTTCTCAAGCTTCGACATAGGTCGGGACACTGGCCGCTCTTAGTTACCCTTCTGATGATTAAATTAGTTGTATGCTACTAATCCGCGTGACTCCTGATGTTTCACATCCATGGATTTTTATATATAATATTTTTTTCTAAAAAGTAAGTTATTCTTGTTCTAGTATCATTCTTTCAGTTATTTATGAATGCCATGATTTTTGCATACATTATTGACCAATCGTGGTTTTACAAAGAACCAACACTTATTTGCAATAGCCTTTACCATTTATGTTCTTATTTTTGTTTTACCCCAAAAATTGTTAAAAAAATTTATTTTAAAATATAAGATACTGATATTTCGGTCATATCAACTTGGTTAATTGTTTCTTAGCCTTTTATTATTCATGTAAAGTTAACTAGAGCATTTTAAATCTTACGATATTGCAAACTCTCTCCTATAGTGATGACATATTAAAAAAGGGAAAAATTATTTTTTTCTCTTTATTTTTAGGCAAACTTCATAGAACTTCCTGTATAGACATGTGAATAGCTTCTTTATTTACAGGAAAAATTTAATGAAATCAGAGAAATATTTACAAAAAAATCATCAAATCTGCCTCCCCCTTAAAGGAAAAGTCCCCTAGAATAACTACAGTTATGGCAAATACGTCATTGTTACCAGCACTTGCAACTAATCTCAACTCGTCCCTCATGTTCTAGTGCTACGACTGTTTGTATAATATATACTTAGAAACCCTCTTTCTTTTTTCCAGTCCTGCTCATTTCTGTTCCTACACTATCCTTGTTACTGTCCTTGTCATCTAGTGCCACTGGCTTTCCAATATTCACCAATAATTCTGCCTATAAATGGTTTCTCTAAAGCTCACAATATCACTACACTGAGAATTCATCCTGTTCGTAGCTCAATCGCTAGCGCACTCAGCTCACACACTGAGGTCCGGGGTTCGAATCCCCGGTATGGCTGGAAAATATTAGGGCGTGTTTCCATAAGACACCTGCTGTCCCTGTTGAGCCATCAGTATAAAATGGGTACCTGGGTGTTAGTCGACTGGTGTGGGTCGCATCCTGGAACAAAACTGACCTAATTTGCCCGAAAGGCTCTGCATAACAAGCCGCTTTCTATATAGTAGTATGTCAATGATGTCAGCTAGGTCTGTATACCTTGTACTATTTCTTTTGTACCACATTTCGTTGCTTTCCAACAAAAACTCATGCCACTATTTCTAGTTTAAAGCCTTAACAGTTCCCTTCACTGCATTAGCCAGTGCCCCCCCCCACCCCAGACCTAGATAAGTGAACCCCCATCCCTGGCATACATGTCATTTCTGCAATAGAAGAGGTCCCAGTTATCCAAAAATGTTACTGCATTTTCCTTTCAGTGTTTGTCAAGCCAGGAGTTAACACCAGTTGCCCTGGACAACCATTCACTTCCAACTCTCCTCCTTGGCAAAATGTCACATATCACAGGGTGCCCTCCCTTCTTCCTAATAATCTCTATTGCTGATCTGTACCTGCTAATCAGGTTCTCACCCCTATGCTTGACAGTGTTGTTGCCTCCAGCACTGAGACTGATAATAGAATTGCTCCCATTGCCTCTCGTAATGCTGTCCAAACGGCTAATAATATCCTCCATCCCAACCCCAGGAACACACCCTGTGCCTCCTCTTCCTATCTGTAAGACAAAAATCCCTATCCATAAACTTGACTTTCCCCAACCAAATCATTGTTCTTACCTTTTCTGGCGGTATTAGTTGTGACCTCGACAGTCTTTGTTGGGATGATCTTTGTTAGGGTCTACGTACCTGGAGGGTATGCCGTGGATCAACACCCCAGCGTGGTGTTTAGGGGTGTCTAGGGTTTTCAACCCACACTTGTCTGCCAACACTGAAAAGGAATTGTTGATCACCACAACAGTCTCCTGGACCTTCCTTAGCATTTAGCTTTGTTGCTTCTATTCCAACCAGTATCCAGTCGTTGATCTGATCATTAACACAGCTGCCCTCGACGACATTGTTCTGGGGATAATCCTTGCACATTCCTTTCAATCGTTGAACCTCTTTTCTAGCTTCCATTAACCCTTCTTTGAGCTGAATATATAGTTGCTTATAGTCGAGGGAAGCCATCATCACAATCTCAGTCAGCTAAGAACGCAGAGCACACTAGACACGTCTTCACGGGAGCATTGTCCACGTGACCAGTGAGCAAGGTCCAGCTCACCAACGGACTAAGAGCTGATCACTAATTATCCAGAATGCTAACATTTGCAGTGATTGCGAATCTAGTCAAGTCCAATATATTTTTATTTTTATCGAATAAGTCTTATATTCGATAAAGACACAAATGCAACATAATGCGACACCGTTCCTCCTACACAGTGGGCTTTATGAAGCCTTTGCCCCAACACAAACAGTATTATCTCATACCACTTTAAACAGATTGGAGGTAACATTTATCTCACTAGTCAGTTGTGTAACCTTCAGAAAATTTAACTTCGATAATAGTAACATTTAAAATCGCTAGTGCTTCAAGAAATTTCCCTAAAATACAGTTATTTAGAAGACGGAATATCTACTGAAAAAAAAAAAATGAATTGGGGACATCAAGGTTACTGGCAGAAGAACATCCATACGGTACCAAGTGGGTACCGGTTCACAATGCATACCGATATGAATTATTATTTCCAAGAGGAAGCAGTTTAGGTGATATATCGTCTAATTCTTTAAGTCACACCCTGGGTGCAGTTAGTTGTAAATATAATTTTGGTGATATTTTCAGGGAGTTAACCGTTTCCTCCATCGCGGCCTTTGGAAAAAAAAAATCCTGTCATGATTGTTTACTGCAGGCGCATATGAACATAAAGTAAGAATTTTATGAGGTATGGCATGTTGTATTTTAGTGCTATTTTATTTAAGGTTACGAAATATCATTGCCTAGTTTTCTTTGTATCTATGATGTTAAGAATTGTTCAATAATAAGGAGCAAAAATATGATAGTAATAAACACTGCAAATATTTGCCAAAAACTGGACTACGTTTATGGAGGATAGATATGTTCACTTAACTCACGAAATCGTAATGACACGATTGCAAACAAACCATACCCCGGCCGGGATTGAACCCGTGCAATCGTGTCATTACGATTTCGTGAGTCATGTTGACGGCAGTGAAGGGACTTGAGCTAGAGTTCGTCACGGCCACGCTAGCTGGAGATTCGTTTGTAAAAACCTGCATTTGTGGTCACAGTGGTGCCTGTGTTAACCTTCCTATGGTGTAGAAATATACCTAGTTGGACGAATCTTATTGTGGCTAGCTGGTCTAGTGGCTAACGCGACGGGCTGGAGTTTTGAGACTCTCTGACCGCGGGTTCAATCCCGGCCGGGGTATGGTTTGATATGTTCACTTAGTTTTTAATTACTTTTTTTAATAATAGGATCACTCAAGAGCAGCAACACACGGATGATGGAGTTCAAGAGGGGTTCTGTGCTTTCCACCGTCGAAGAGGTTGACAGTACATTATCCACCCCTATACCGGAGAGGCAGCTCGGGAAGACTAATGATGCCTACACACCATTATCGATCCAAGGAATGGTTGTTGCCGGTCCCGTTCCAATCCGAGTATCTGATGACGTTAGACACCCAGGTTCCTCATCGATGACAGAGCAAGGAAATAATGAGTCTGTTTCTGATGGAAGTGAGTGATAGTCAATTTTAATGTTTTGTTTGTATAACAAGTCCACACGAGCTTTTTATATGCTGTCATAAAGATATACATCCCTCGAAACTCTCAGTGTTTTGTTTTAAATATAACCTGGAGTAAGGGATGGTACCGCATGGTATTGTTTGTTTCATATCTTCTCGTCGGTCTTCTAAAAAGCATTCTTTGACTAATGTAAGCATTTGTTACACAGGCAGCGGGGAATGGGGAGTGCGCCACACACTGACGCTGCTATCATGCTTAGCTACGGCTATACAATATTCCATGAGGGTTAACTTGTCCATCGCCATCGTTGACATGGTTATTGGGGACAGCAACTCCACTTATGACAACTACGACGACACCTGCCCTCTTCCAGATGCAGGGGATAACCACACTGCCTTGGTATGCGTAGACCTTTGTTACATGCCGCTCCTTCAAAATGTTGTGATAAATAGAGTACATGCTAAACTAAGTTGGTGAAGAGAGAGAAGTATTTGTGTTTTCGCTTCTGTACCTCGTTAGTTATTGAGAGATATTAAGACGATAAAAAATCTCAGGTGTAACTGAAGGGCATTAGTGAAACAAAAAATTAGAGCAGATGGCAAAAAATTATGATTTATACATGACTGACTCGGGGGATCTCCGAAGATCATAAGTCTTTGCCTTTATCCAAAGCAATTTGGAAAGGAAATTGGTTGGACACCTATAATACTTCTGAGAGAATGATTTCCTCTGTTTTTTATGTTCAGTCAAATTTTGTACTAGAAATATTAACTAATGTAGACAACACGTTTCTTGAAATCAACAAATACGACAAAAGTAATTGTTAAGACAATTTATTGGAATAGTTTGACAATAAAACCATAAGTCAAGTTACGAAACTAAGAGTTGAAATTATGTTTAGGGGAAACACTCGTATCTAAGTTATCCTGGGAAGAATAAAAAAAATAATTAGGAGCTTCATGTTAGTATTGACGCATCAATAATAATCGTGGCTTATACTTAGTGAAGTCAGTTGCGCCCTTGAGAAGGTACTGGTAAATTTATTTATGCTTATGCGTCTGACTATTAAAAAAAATTGCCAAAAACATCATATCAAAATAAGTTTTCATCACAAGAATTTAAAATCCCGAGAAAAGAATCCGAACTAATTTTCACTTATAATCAGGCAGGCAACTTCGAGTGGGACGAACAGACACAAGGTCTGGTATTGGGGGCATTCTACTGGGGCTACGCCACCACCCAGATTGTGGGAGGGTGGGTATCCCAGCGTGTGGGAGGCCGTCTGGTGATGGGACTCAGCGTGCTTGTCTCCTCTTTCATCACTCTACTGCATCCACTCTGCGCTTATGCGTCTGATAAGCTCTTCATCTTCATCAGGTTCCTGGAAGGCGTCGCTCAGGTACGTTACACATGAGGTAATGTGTGTGTGTGTATGTATTCATCTATTTGTACTCGCCTATTTGTAGATGCAGGGGTCGATTCACAGCTCCTGGCCCTGCCTCTTTGCTGGTCGCTATTAGGTCCACTCTCTGCCTGCTCCATGAGCTTTTCGTATCTCTTCTTAAAGCTAGGTATGGCTCCTTTTTCTATTGCATCACTCTCCAGATTGTTCCACTTCCTGATAAGTCTATGACTGAAGAAATATTTTCTAACATCCTTGTGATTCACATGAGTTTTCAACTTCCAGTTGTGACCCCTTGTTCCTGTGTCCCATCTCTGAAACATTCTGGTCCTGTCCACCTTCTTAATTTCTCTCAGTATTTTATATGTCGTTATCATGTCTTCCCTACCCCGCCTGTCCTTCAGTGTTAACAGGTTGATTTTCTTTAACCTCTCCTCGTAGGACATACCACTTAGCTCCGGGATTAGTCTTGTTCCAAACCTTTGGACTTTCTCTAATTTCCTGACTTCCTTGACCAAGTGTGGGTTTCATACTTTAACACATGTTAAAGCTCGAGGGTTCGAGTCTCGGCCAGTGTAGTTGTTATCTGCTTAAAATCATATGTTCGTGGATGCATTAATATATAAGCTGCTTGTTTAACTGGTATTCCAAACGAGAGGAAGATGAAATTAGTCAGATTGCCACAGCCAGGTATGTATCCGCAAGAAATGTTTCGCCACACAGTAGCTTCATCAGTCCAATACAAAGTAGAAATGGGTAAGGAGAGGAGGAGATTGAGGTAATCAGTCCCTCAGGCTGGAATCAATGTGTTCAGTCCATCACTCTTGTAGAAAGTACAGCATAGGGCCTGAGAGGTGGCTTATATACTGCAGTCAGGTGAGTCGAAGGAGGAGGATGTGGGATCACAGTGGGACCTTCCACTAGTGTAAGTAGGTCGTCGTCCAAAGGGTGGACAAGCGTTGAAGAAGTCTTTGTACCAAGATCCCATGATGCTGCAGTGTCTGACAGAGCGAAACGTTGCCGCAATAAAAATGTCACATTAGTTGCACTTGCGTCCTTTTACTTTACATTTCTACTTTGTATTGGACTGATGAAGCTACTGTGTGGCGAAACGTTTCTTCAATAAAAATTCCCATATGTTGCATGTCTCAATTTTCCATAAAAACTTTTCACCACTTTCAATAACCTACCTCCTATTCCATACACTTGCAACAACTGCCACATTGCCCCCCTATCTACCCTATCACACACCTTTTGCAAATCCATAAATGCCACAAAAACCTATTTACCCTTATCTAAATACTGTTCAAATATATGTTTCACAGCAAACTCTTAGTCTACACACCCCCTACCTTTCCTAAAGCCTCCTTGTTCATCTGTTATCCTTCTTTCCGTCTTACTCTTAATTCTTTCAATAATAACTGTACAATACACTTTTACCAGATATGTTCGACAGACTTATTTTAACATTTCTATCTTTACCCCATCAATCCAAGCTGTTTTACTCCTTTTCGTTCTACCCACTGCTCCACACACTTCCCCCACACTCACAACTGGTTCTTCCTCACTCCTATAAAATGTTATTCCTCCTTGACCTATACACGAATTCACAGTTCCCTATCTTCATCAACATTTAACAGTTCCTCAAAATATTCCCTCCCTATTTTTATTTAACTAATCCATTCTTTCTCTAGGCTTTCTCAACTTATTAATCTCACTCCAAAACTTTTTCTTATTTTCAACAAAATTTGTTGATGACATCTCACCCACTCTTTCATTTGCTCTCTTTTTACATTACTTCACCACTGTCTTAACCTCTCTTTTTCTTTCCATATACCCCCCCCCCTCCTTGCATCACTAATACTTTGTAAAAACCTTTCATATGCTAACTTTTTCTCTCTTACTACTCTCTTTACATCATCATTCCACCAATTGCTCTTCTTCCCTCCCACACCCACTTTTCTGTAACCACAAACTTCTACTGAACACTCTAACAATGTGTTCTTAAACTTACCCCGTACATCTTCTAACCCATTGCCTATACTCTGACTAGCCCATCTGTCCTCCAACAGTTGTTTATATCTTACCCTAACTGCCTCCTTTAGTTTATAAACCTTCACTTCTCTCTTACTTGCTGCTTCCATTTTCCGTGTATCCCATCTACCTTTTAGTGTAGCTACAACTAAAAAGTGATCTGATATATCTGTGACCCCTCTGTAAACATGTGCATCCTGAAGTGTACCCAAAAGTATTTTATCTACCAATACGAAGTTCAACAAACTACTGTCATTTCGCCCTACATCATATCTTGTATACTTATCTATCCTCTTTTTCTTAAAATGTGTTACCTATAACCAAACCCATTATCATTTACACCTGGCACCCCAAACTTACATACCACACCCTCTCTAAACGCTTCTCCTACTTTAGCATTTAGGTCCTCTACCACAATTACTCTCTCACTTGGCTCAAAAGTTCCTACATACTCGCTTAACATCTCCCAAAATCTCTTTCTCTCTATCTCTACACTCCTTTCTACTCCAGGTGCATACACACTTATTATGACCCATTTTTCACGTCTGACTTTTATTTTAATCCACATAATCCTTGAATTTATACATTTATATTCCCTCTTCTCTCTCTCTCCATAACTGATCCGTCAACATTATTATTATCCCTTCCTTAACTCTCTCTCAGATACTCCTGATTTCATCTCATTTATTTCACCCCACTGAAACTCGCCTACCCCCTTCGACTTCCTTTCGCTTAGGGCCAGGACATCCAACTTCTTCTCATTCATAATATTAGCAATCATTTCATATCATCCGCACTACATCCACGCCCATTCAAACAGCCCAATTTTATAAAGTTTTTCTTTTCCTTGTTTTTCGTAGTTTATACAGGAGAAGGGGTTACTAGCCAATTTCTCTAGGCATTTAGTCGCCTCCTGAGACACGCATAGCTTACGGAGGAAGAATTCTGTTCCACTTCCCCATGGAGATAAGCAGAACTAAACAAGAACATGAGCTAGAAAGAAAGTAGAAGAAAGCCCAGAGGGGTTAGTATATATATGCTGGTACATGTATATGTAGTGTGACCTAAGTGTAGGTAGAAGTAACAAGACATAACTGCCTGCAGTCTTGCATGTTTTTGAGACAGAAAAAGACTATATATATATATATATATATAATATATATATATATATATATATATATATATATATATATATATATATATATATATATATATAATATATATATATATATATATATATATATATATATATATATATATATATATATATATATATATATAATGTGAGTGTGTGTATGCAAGGAGTTCGCAAGAGCAGGCGAAATATACACAAACACTGATCTCTGGCCGAAGGAGATTCGAATCTGCGTACCTTGTTCCAAGGTTTGTAGGTTCGAGTCTCCTTCGGCCAGAAAATCAGTGTTTATATATATATATATATATATAATATATATATATTATATATATTTATATATATATAATATATATAATATATATATATATATTGCTGGTGTCTTTTTATTGTGTGTGTGTCGAGCTAAATAGGTAAAACTTGCGATTTTGGCCGAATAAGGCAAGCGAAAATTTGTGTATGCAGTAATTTCGCAAAAATCTTTCTGAACCTAGCGAGAAAATATATTTCATTGTGTTTATCATATTATTGCAAACTTATCAAAAATATATTTAGTTGGATTAGGCTAAATTAAATTGCGCTTGTTAAAATAATGTTAGGTAAGTTTTCTAAGGTTCTTTTGGCACAAAATTATTATTTTTTACATTAACATATATGAAAAAACATATATCTTTAAATGTATAAGAGAAGTTTTTTGAAAGGACTTAATTTTAAATGAGTTCTTGCTAACTGACCAGTTTTACCTATTCAGCACGACACACACACACACACACACACACACACACACATATATATATATATAGTCTCATTTCACAGTCGGATTCGAACCTGCGCACCCAGAAGCCTGGTGTTGCCGGATACTGGATACACCGCCTAGCTTCGCCTAAGCGCCTATTCTTATCTGGAGTCCTGTTGTGTGTCAAAGGAACAGTGTACTTTCATGCAGAGTGCGCAGGTTCAAATCTTACTGTGTACTAAGAGGTAATATTTGTAAATAATTTCTTCCGTTTACGAATTGTTAAGCATTTCAAAATCTCTCTCGAAGTTCGCTGCTTAAAGCATCACATCTCCCCTCCCTCAGTTCCAGCTCTCGGTAAATTTTGATAACTCCTTAATATTCTCGCTGCTCTCTCCTTAATGATTAAATGATATTTCTTTTAACTCATATACCGAGTCTTTCAATCTGATCTACTGCAGCTAATTTAGTATGCCATTGTGCATAATGCAGCCCAGAATATCTAGAATAGATTAGCTCACATCAATTCCAAGGAATTGCACGTGGAGTTCTGTTAGTCCTTGGAGGACATAATGGATCGAGTGATGAGGCTTGAGAATTAACAACTTGTTATTTACACTGCAAACTAAACTGTTTGCCATCTTAATGAGGCTAACGTTAGCTTATAACACTAAGATTAAGTCTATGATTATTACTGATTCTTTATCATCTTTGTCTCTTTGGTGAAGCCATATATAGATATTCAGAAATCCGAAAAAAGGGAGTTAATGTAGAATTGTTATGGACTCCATCTCACACTGGATTACTTTTTCATGATAAAGTGATAACGTTTGCCATAAATAAGTTCACTGAAGAAAAATGTAAAATGTAACTTTGGCGTGTCCGTGTCTTGCATTAGGAATAATATTAGGAGACAAGTAAATAATGAAAGAATGTTATAAAAATGCACTTAGTTCTATAACCTTACTATAATAACATGACTGTAGATAAGTTCGTTTGTGAAGCAACTTGCTATGTAATCAGTCTGACTGATGTAGTAACCAGGCTTAGGCTTGGTTACAAATACTTCTGGCAGTTTGGCAGAGACACAGGTGAATATCAAATCAAATGCAAAGCGTGTGGCCAGCTCTATGGTCACTTTATCTTGAACAGTATGTACTTAATTGTCCACTTATTGAGGAATATAGAGATAGTATAACCAATGTGATGTCAAGATATCTTATTAATGAAAATAAGATACCAGAAATATTAAGCAACTTTCCAAAATCTGCTTGCAACAGCTAAGTGAACCGTAAATATAAATCCAAATGTACTCCTGCAAACCATTTTTGGGCCTATTTCCTGGGGCTCTGGTGGCCTGGTGGCTAGGGCTCTCGCTTCACACGGCGAGGGTCTGGGTTCGATTCCCAGCCAGGGTAGAAACATTGGGCGTGCTTCTTTACACCTGTTGTTTATGTTCACCCTTCAGTAAAATTGGTACCTGGGTGTTACTCAACTGGTGTGGGTCGCATCTTGGGACACTGACCTAATTTGCCCGATATGTTCAGCATAACAAGAGACTTTCTGTATAGTAGTATGTCACTGATGTCAGCTAGGCCTGTATACCTTGTACATGTACTTGTAAATAAACATATTATTATTATATTATATTTTGTGTATCTGTATGCTCTTGTGTTACCGTCCACAAGATGGATGTGGTGTGCACAATAAACTAGCCGCATCGGCAGTAAAATCTAAATCTCTAGAGCAGAACTTTATCCTATGGTTTCATTATGGGAAAGCAGCCGCCAAAAATAATTTCTTGAGGCGATTATCTGTCGACTTAGTATACAGGACACTGCCTTTCTCTACGGCTCGAAAAGATTCAAACTTATTTTTATGCAACTTGAATATTGACATTGTACCCTCGGCACAGACCTTTCAGAATTATACATGGGGTTTCAGAATTACTTGATCTGTGAAGATCCTTCTGACATTGAAGAGGAAATATTTTTAGTATGTGATTTGATTTTTAAAATAAATGTAAAAATCCAGATATTGATTGTTTTGATTGTGTTGCAGTCTCTTTGCTCTAAGTTCTATGTAGTGATTGTGTGTGCAAATTTTATTGTACTGAGTAATGAATAACCTTTTATTCTCAGCACTCTAATATTTATCACCTCATTCTTGAGTCTCCCTCACTACTGTAGTTACTACACTGACCCTGCCTTTCTTAATTTACTGTTCCTTTACCATTTCACATTAATTCAGGTTCTTAAAACACTGTACCCACCACAGTATACTTGGACCATACCTGGAGAGGGTTTCGGGGATCAACGCCCCCGCGGCCCGGTCTGTGACCAGGCCCCCACATTCACTTAAATTAAAATTCTGTATCCATTCTTTTCACTGGAACCCGCAGGCCAATGTACTTACAACACCTTATAACGTTACACCTGTTTTTCCCCACGAGTCACAAAGGCACCCGCGTCAGCATTCTTACAAAACTTCATCGTGAATTTGTGTAGCGTCACTTGAAGTGTCACTAGTAACATGTGTTCATTGTAGGGGGTGACCTTTCCTGCCCTGAGTTTACTCTTAGCCACCTGGGCGCCCCGCCAGGAGAAGACTACGCTTGTCACTATTGCATTTTCAGGTGAGCTTTCTTATAATGTGAATTTAATTTGGATCTCTACTATATCACGGAAGGGATAGAAGGGGTTACGGGAATGTAAGACAGGCCTAAGGTACCTTCGATCATCTTCAAAAGAATACTGAGAGGCGCTGCTCAATATTCTTTTTTAGCATTGTATTCTGTACGTTATACATGGTTACTGTTCATCACTGTTCATATGCAATACGAGAAACTTTTTTCTGTTTTGCTTTTAATATAAATTCATTAGTAAAGTAATTAATTGATGTTTACATTGTCGTAATATATAGTGTGTGCATGTGATTAGCAGTAATATCATGTTTATCAAAGTTAAAGATATTTTTTTCTAACTAGAAAAGATAGGTTATAGTACAATCTGTTATTGGGATAATGTCTCTCTCTTTACAGAGTTTTATCAAGTCATGCCTTGATAAAACTACACAGAGCAAAACGTTGTCTTTTTTTTGTCAGTTGGCTGTCACACATTGATCCAACACCTTTAATTATTTTGAAGCAAGATCGACGAAGGAGCAGTCACTGAGGAAAGTTTAGCCAGCTCATCACCCGTTCTTACCTTAATACCTGTCATACTTCTGTAGCCTAATCTTGATGATTTAGCTTATGAAACAATGATTGCTTTGATAAAACCCTTAATAATATATTTATTTTGATATTACTTCGAAAGTCACCTTGAACAGTGTGAAAGTATATCATTGTTGTGAAATAATACTAGCTATAATTGGGCTGACATAGGAGATTCAGTAGAATTAAGTTTTATTTAACTAAGTAAAATTTACCAACGTTAAGTTAATTTGGGTTATTTTGGTATAAATTTAAAAATCTGTGTGTGTTAAATCACGCGAAATTATCTGCAAATCCATTTATATTTTTAAAGAAAACTCAACTTGTTTGAATGTTCTGGCTATAAACTTCAACATTTACATGTTTCAATCTCACTAGACCACTGAACATCAAGTGTGTGGTTGAAAAGCGATAATATTGTTTTTTTAACAATTTTTAAGGAAAGAAATCTTAATTTTCATCCATTTAATATTAACTCTACATTTCTTCAAATATACGTAGTAACAATGTTTTTCATTCTTAAAAATATCCTTCCACCTATACGTCTGGTTTCTGCTGTATTTCCTGCTACTCCTTCCTTCTTCACTACACAGGAGAAACTTAATACTCACTTTCTGACAGATTTAGATCTCAAAATGTAAACATTTTACACCATTTGCTGTCTTTTACAAAAGTGCTCACCTTCCTTACACCAACAACACAAAGCATATATACACCAAGAGGTATATATATCTCAGCGTATATATGATGGGAGTTTACTTTAATCCCTACTTTTGTGATAAAAAGTATTCTTGTTTGGTGGTAAAAAGGTTGCGTGCAGCCTTACTAACCCTCGTACAGTCGACAGGCTGTAAACACAGTTAACCAGCCAACTAATCATGCTCTTTTCTGTAAGGTTGGACACAAGATTCATTCCATAAGACTGCTGTCTGCTGAAGCTATTTACCATCACAGACACATTGCTGAATCGGCTCTTGTAAATAGCATTAATAACAAAATTTGTTTAGCTTCAGTTTTGTTCGTTTATGTTTTCCTTCCCTTCTAAATTATCAATATTCCTATCTCCTGAATACATGCGGAGAGACTCCATTGAGCATCAGTCATTAACTTGCATGAGAACATCTGTTGAAAATGGTTATGATGAATGGTTTGAAAAACCGACAAGTTGAAGATTGAGACATTTATGCAGCATATGGGAATCTTTATTCAGGAAACGTTTCGCCACACAGTGGCTTCATCAGTCCAATACAAAGAGGAAGGCGTAAGGAGAGGAGGAGTATGAGGTAATCAGTCCCTCAACCTGGAGTCGATGTGTTCAGTCCATCAATCTTGTAGAATTCTACAAGATTGATGGACTGAACACATCGACTCCAGGTTGAGGGACTGATTACCTCATACTCCTCCTCTCCTTACGCCTTCCTCTTTGTATTGGACTAATGAAGCCACTGTGTGGCGAAACGTTTCCTGAATAAAGATTCCCATATGCTGCATAAATGTCTCAATCTGAAAATGGTTAGTCGCTCGTAGACCCAAGTCTAAGACCTGACCTTGATTTTCTTTCTTCTTCACTTTACCTGTCTTCTGGCTTTCTTCCTTTCTCTATCCCACTTGTAGTTTGATCGACTGAAACGTCGTTTAAAGGTTCCTCTCGATTTTTTAGGTTAGTTACAAATTATTCTAGCAATTGTATTGCGTTTTTCTTATTCTTCACTTATTTCTTTTCACCGTGTAAAGCGCAAAAATGCACCAAAAACTAAATTTCCCTTAATTATTCACCTTATATGCGACAGCCGAGAAAAACGCTTTGATGAGTTTACCTTCTGTAGACTGTCCACAACACGGAGAGATTTGGGACCCAGTAGGTCCTCCCACTAATGATCAAAGGGCGCGACGCCATCGCTTGCATTTCTATAAATCACTTTGGTTGAAAGTATGTTTCTGTGACATTTTAATGCTGGTGAAAGTCTCATAATTCACTGAACTGAAGTTGTGTTCCTCTTCCTTTGAATGATAATTGATTACCTCCCATTTCCCTTAACTTTTATGAATGATCACGAGGTTTAGTGCTTCCTAATATATTTAACAATAGTCTGGCACTGATTTAAAACCTCTGTGGGTAAATATAATAAAATATTCCTTTACCTTGTGGTCAATATTCTGCATTCATCTTCCGTTTTATCGTAAATGAATTTGTGTACATAATTTGTTAAAATAAATTATTTTAACTGGACTATGTTTGTAAAGCTGAGGAACAAGGGATTAATGTTTAGTCGCTATCGTCAGGTTTTTTTCCCCCATTATAAGGTACAAAGATCACACGTGCAGTATTGGGAAAGAGGTTTTAATTCTGCCAGGCAAAGGTAGACGTCCAATATCGCCACTCTTCTTACCAGGGATGCAGGTGGGCACGGTGTTGGGCACGGTAATCAGCGGGTGGCTATGTGATTTCGACTTCCTAGAAGGATGGCCGCTAGCCTTCCTCGTGTTCGGGGTTGCTGGGCTGGTGTGGTGTGTTCCATGGTTCCTCCTTGTCCGTGACACGCCCAAGCTAAATCCCTGGATCTCCCAGGCTGAGCTGCAGTATATCCAGGGCCATCAGGATTCGCTTGTTACGAGTAAGGTGAGGGGTTAAAGTTTTGTTGGAAGAAAAATGGGGCAGAAGTTATTTAGGATTTATTTCGCTAATAACAATTTCACTAATAAATAAGTTTGAAAAAAAAGTTTTCTAATTAGCATGAAATGTCACTGATATGAAGTAACATCTCCACTTCCTCCACTCTCTTCCTTGCCGCATCATTCAAGGATCATGAACGTCGTCATTCATAGAACTAATCGATACAGCCACCCAAAAATATCCAAATAAATTCACTTACCCTATACTTCCTCCTTATAATCTGGTATCCAACACTTTATTAAACAGATTTTCCTTGCACTTGCAGCATTAATCTTTCCTATGTTCACTTTTAATTTCCTTCACCTACATACTCTCTCAAGATCTTAAATCCCCCCAACGTTTTTTAACTAATATTCTAAATCTTTCAAAAGTACTGTGTCATCAGCAAATACCAATTGTAACACCTCACACTTTATTTCAAGTTCAATATTTATTAAGCTAACATCTCTCCCCAACTTTCCAATACGTATTTCTTTCAAGCCACAATCAAGAAACATGTTAAATAACGACGGCAAATTACAGATCCTTGTCTCATGCCTACTTCCCTACGCACACTGTAATTTCGCATTTTCAAATTCGTAAATGCAATATTAGTGTCAATATTAGTTACTTGTATGTTCTAGTGTAAACACTGAATCCACACGCTCCGTTCCTTTCCTAAATCCACATTGTTTCTCTTTAATCCTACTTTTTTAATGGAAATTTAATAAAACAATAAAACGACTACTTAAAAGCACAGATGAGTTAAGTAAATAATTCATGTCTTCCAATCCATCTTTACCACATAGGTATGGATTAATAAAAACACACAAACTAGGTAATCCAGCCAGATTATTAGCTCCATAGTTTCTGTTTCCTATAAATTATCTAAATGGCTAGTAGATATGTTGAGCCTAATTGCTGGAATATTTTCTAACTTTAATGTAAAAAACATTATAGATTTAGTGGATAAATTAAGCACCATGACTGATTCAAATTATTACAGTATGGTTAGTTTTTGATGGTTTATTAAGTTTTCTGTCTGATGAACTTGTTAATTACGACTTACCATTCACAGTACCTACAATCATTGAGATTATTAAACTCTGTATTGTTCATACACAGTTTGTGTTTAGTGATGAATTTCACACTGAGAAGTTTGATATGTCAATGGGAAATCCTCTTTCATCTGTCTTTAGTAACGTGCACATGGAATATTTTGAAACACAATTACTTAACAAAATCCTTCCCAATACAGCTAAATGATACAGGTATGTTAATGTTATATATGTAATGCCTAAGAATATAAATATAAACCATTTCCTTGTTAAATTTAATAGCCTAGCTCATTCCATAAATTTTACTGCTGAGGGAAACCATGATTTTAAATTTAAAATTTATAGAAAACCAAGAAAGAAATGTTCTTATGTGCAATATTATTCTTTACATCATGATAGAGGTAACTTTCTGTTGTCGCATTAATGTTTTTGACATATTTCCTTATTTCCAGTCCAGAGTTCATAGACGATGAAATTTTAAAAGTTTATGAAATAAGTAATGATCTAAAATACCTAAAACACTTAATTGAGAAATCATTTTATATTGCTAGAAATACCTTTTACAATTCAAAAAAGGACAAACAACCTTTTGCAGCTAAAAATATGATAGTTTTCTCTTTCTATGAAAACTTTCTTGATATACCTTGTCTACTTAAAAAATTTAATATCAAAGTTGTATTTAAGAATCTTGATACAGTAAAAAACTTTTCATAAAAAATCTTCAAAAAAATTCTGACGGCTGTGTCTGCAAGATTCCCTGTAATAAATGTGATAAAGTTCATTAGGGACAAACTGAGAAAAGTCTTGAAAGAAGATTACAACATAAATATAGCATTAGAAGCGGACAAGAGTCTAGTGCTGTTTATTCATGTGAGAAATTTTAACCATCCAGTTGACTTTCAAGAGGCCGAGAAAGTTTTATCAAGCAGGTCCATAGTATAATATAATATAATCAAGTTTCATAAAAAAATAGTTTTGAAATTAATCTGAATATTGCTTCAATATTATACAAATTGGATTCATTTATATTTAATAAAATTTGGAAAGAATTTAAGATATTTTCGAAAAGTTAAAATCTTAAACTTGGGTAGAATATTAGCAGTGTCTGAGAGATACTTGACCACTTACCTACATCATCATAAGAGATCAAATATTGTAAGTTGATCACGAGGTGTAATCTCATCCTTATATGCCTTCTGCTGATCTTTATTTTTACAGTTTCTTGATAATGTGAGAAATCACAAAAAAAATTAGAGGTTCACTATTTTTTTACAATGGTTGTTCGCGTATGTATGTATGTATATATATATACATATATATATATATATATATATATATATATATATATATATATATATATATATATATAATCAATAACAACACTACGCTAGCCAAGGATTCCAACCCATGTTGTACTGGCCTGCCTCATGGTAAGCGAGAACCACATGACGCTTTAAACCACAGGGCCACCCAACCCTTCCTTGGTTGGGTGCTCACAAACAGATGTGTTTGTGACTTGATAAAGCCCACTGTGTGGGCGAAACGTTGTCAATAAAGGATCACATTATACTCCTTAAGTGTTAACATTTCCAGGTAGTTTGTTATTCAGGATCTATAATACAGAAAAAGTGCTCCAGTATTTTATTGCTTAAACTGCTTGATGGTTAAATCAATTTCCCTGAGATTTTTTTAAATTAAACTGTAATCCTATATGCAATTAAAGGTGAAAGTTATTCCCTGGAAGGCGATCATGAAGTCAAGACCAATGTGGGCGGCTATAATGACCTATGTGGCGGAAGGGTTCAGTTACTATGCCCTTCTCTCAGAGATGCCGTCCTACCTCCACAACATTCAACACCTCGATACGACTCAGGTAACTTAATTAGTAGACATATATAAGTATATGTAATTAGCAGGCATATGTAATTCCTGTAAATTCATAAAATATGAAATTACAGTTTTATCTTAATATATGCGTTGTAATCCATATGTGTCTGTGGTGAGAAATAATAATTGTAAGTATGATAATTGCAAAAGTGAAACTCAATTTGTCTTTTATACCGCTCCCAGAACAGTTTTGCGTCTTCACTGCCGTATGTGTTAATGATTATCTTCTCTGTGATGTGGGGGGCCTTGATGGAGGTACTGACCAAGAAGAGGGTGCTGAGCGTTTTGTGGGTGAGAAGGATTTCTTCAGCCTTGGGTAAGAACAACTTACATCCACACAATTCTCTTATAAATTTTGCTCAGATTGAAATTTTACTGTTTCAGCCAAGCTTTGGAGAATTCTGGGAGTCGCAAGAGAACCTTCAAAGCGAAGTTTAATGCTGGGAATTGTGGCTGCAAAAGTAAACTGAAGGCATTTATCAGACTCTTATGATTATCTGTGAAGCCATTTACAAAATCGTTTGTCATTTTTTTATAACCAGTGCGCCATCTTCCATTACGATATCAGAGTTCACTATAACGAACTCTTTCACTTATCAACTAATCCTCAGGGTTATGTATTAAATTCATCACCCACAATAATTATTTGGAATAGCTAATTTTATTAACACAGATATTTTGCATATACAAAATACACTGAATATAAAAATAATTAGGAGGCAGTAAAATGTTTTGTCATTCAGATCAGACCTTCATCAGCCTATTCTGTCTATTCTTCCTATCATGTTTATATTGTCTTTTACCAGGATTGTACTCCATGTCGGCTGCACTGTTCATAATGTGCTTCGTGAGGTGCAACACCACCCTGTCTATCGTAATACTGTGTACTTCATTGGCCTTCAACGGGGCTTCGTACAGCGGTGCGGCACTGATTGAACAAGACATCGCTCCCAACCTGGTCAGCACTCTGGTGGGCTTCAACAACACTATCGGTGCCATTGCCGGCTTCATCGCTCCCGTTATTATTGGCGCCATCCTTAAAGACAACGTAAGACATGGCTTCACAATACACGTGTGTACACACACACAGACACACACACGTAACGGGGATCGAACCACGGACACTCAGTGTGTGAGCTGATTGTGCTACCAACTAAGCCTGAAGCGCAATGGTCGTCTTCTAGCGAGATAGGGACGACCCGTAACGAGAAAACATGTTCACCGTCATTCACTCAATCCCTGTTTAGCCAGAAGGATGTAGGTAAATGCTGACATTTCATTGCAGATGACCCTCGGAAAGGCACCAACCCCACCCCTCCTCCAGAGTGTCGGCACTGTACTTTCCACCTCCAGGACTCAAGTCTCACTAATCCATATATTACTTGACATACATATGTTAATCTGCCATCACTGTACAGCATATCTAAGTTTGCAAGGCGTCAAAGGCTTTATCAATCCAGAGGGAGATTGGGAGCAGGTGCGCTTGGCGGCCTCCCTTGTTGCTCCTCCTGGCACCTCCGGGCACCTCCTGGCACTCTCCACACAGACGCCTGGCCCTCAATGTGATCTCTCTTGTAGTGTTGTACATGTGATATTGAATCCCCCGGAGGTGAAGTGATCAGTGATCAGTGTTCAGTGGTCAGTCGTCACGTGAGGTCACAGACCCTGAGCTGCTTGGGGATTAGCGTGGACGGTTACAAAGCATGGCTTGCTC